TTTACCTTCTGAACAGCCGACCCATGATATTGCTTGACAGTTAGTCAAACTGTGAGTGTTTCACAGACTGCACGCAGAGCCAAAGCTGCGAGCGACTTGCCGTTTGTGGTTCGGACAGATGTGAAGCTGCGAGGTGGCTTGCAGTGGGCAGAGCCACATATGCAACATGACAACGACGCTCCTTGCCGCAAGAATCTAGAAGACAAAACAACCCGTGATATTCCATGACTGCTTCGTCTAAACTTTTTGTGAAATACTTTCTGGCACAGTCTCGCCCATGTGCAGCCCGGAACTTACTTCGAGCGCCAGGAAAAATAGCCGTGACAGCTAGCTGGTTCGATCAAAAAGACCATTCAAAAGCTTACTAACACATTAAGACTTTTCCGTCTTGCTTTTGCGTGTTAGAGTGCCATCCTTTGGTTTCCTCAGGTAATATGTGTATTTTGATTAGCTACTAGTCTGGTTCTCGGTTTTGAAGAAGTCCTAACCTATCTTTGAAGTCCTGTGAACAAAGTAAACTTTCAGCCATCTAACAACCGCACGTTGGAGTGCTAAGTCCAATGCAAAAAGAGTAGGGTTCTAGCGTCGCCGGACCATCGCTGCCAACGAACCCACGCCAGACTGTGGACGACGACTCCGTCAAGTCCACGCACTTCGACTGGGCCATCTACTTGGAAGCACGCGAGGGGGGCACCCCTAAATGCGAAGGGAGCGCCGGCGTCCCTAAGCCGGTAGCACCGGAATCCCGAATCCGGATGAAACTGCTAAAGTGAAGTCTATGAAACTGTGTTGTTTCTGTCGTCGGCAGCGCTACGCTTGGGCGACCTGCGGCACGCAGCGCGCCCTCTCTCGTTATCAAGAATGGGCGCAGCCGTACTTAGTTCCAGCACCGCCTACGTGTAACGAGCAGGTTGCAACAGTTTTTGGTGTGTCCATGCCTCTATTGAACTCCTTCGTACCGGGCCTTGCAAATCAGTTGCCGCGCGTGGGGCGTTTGGACTTCAACACCAAATCTTGCTTGCAGTTCTGCCATTGCGCATGCCTACAATCCGAGCAAGATAACACACAAGGTAACACACCGAGCTCACATGGAGTGAGCGTTTCCACACGACTACAAGCGCGACGAAGGTCAACAGCGTCAAGACCGTCATTTACATCGCTCGTCCGTGTAGAAGTCGACGCAGATAAGAGTCTGCGCAGGTATCGTTCCGTGGGCGGAGGCAAGCGCGACCATGGTGCAACTATGTTGGCGACACTATCGGCAGAAGTGCAGGAGCTGTTTCGCGCCATGTTGCTGTCCTGTGTCGGCACACTATCCAACGTAACCAAGGCAATGCAACAGGATTGCATGGGTCGACGTGTGGGACGGTTGGCAGGATTTCAATCCCGAGCAGCCGGAAACCTGTCAGGCGGTGCTTTTTCGCTTCTTGACTATCGCCGAAGCTAACGCGCCGTTTGAAGCCTGCACAGATCAGGTGCGCCTGCAGGAGCTAACGGAGATGGTTTTTATTCGCATTGTCATGCGTCCTCGCATGATAGCAATAACTGCTTGATCGATGCTCTGCTCTTGGGTCTACGGGCGGCGCAATTGGTACCGGACCCGGTACTGGAACCAGCAAACCACAGAGCGCAGATTGCGCACCAATGTCGCCAATACCTCGTCGCTGTCATCGGCGCCCCAGTCGCGGAAACCGCAACGGGATTTTGGCCATACCTAGATGCAGAACGGGATGCTCCGCATATTGTCACCTTCTTACTCCACATGCACCAGACTGCGCTGCCCGGAACAACATTAGACTTAGATCTCGTTACCTTTAATCGGTTGCCGTCCGTCGCTGTTGACGCGCACGAGAACAGGATGCGACTCGTAGAGGCACCTTCAGGTGCACACGGTGCTAAAGAAACGCTGTACCTCTACAATTGGACCACGCCTTGTGGACAAGGATATCACTTTGATGCTTTACTACCGGCGCACCGAGCCAGCGCGCAGGGTCGCGGCGAATGCGTGTCTGCCAGGCCCCGGGAATCCATGCGCCCACCCGCCGGCAAAAGTTTGCACCATCCTATACCGATACCCCAGTCAGGGGGGGCCAGAAGTGGAAAGATGGGTTGTTGGCCATGCAAGACAAGCGTGGGAAGGCGCAGCGTTTCGAAAGACCAGCCGTTTACTAATTTAGCGCACTCCTACTTTTTGCAGCCACTTTGCCCTTCCAGCCACTTTTGCCCTTGCAGGATGCAGTGCTGGCCGCCTTGACCTTTCTGGAAGGCAAGAACTTGCCTGTCACAGACAGAGAGCTCTCCATCCTCGCTGTTGCCGTCACCGTGCTGCAGCAGCGAGGAATCGACGCCGATCAAGAACCAATTGTGATTCAGGCGGACCCGGCCTGAGTGGTTTTGATTCCATCACCATCACCAATGGTCCAACCTAGCGATTAGCAGAAATGGTGATCAGGACTTGCTTTATATATAGCGTATAGCTCGGCCTCAAACTGGGCATCATGTTGTCAATGCTGACTTGGAATATACATATATATATATATATTATTCAATGGATAACTCATTGAAACAAGACTGGATAAGAGTATCATTACGCTTCAAAAGCGCCGGATGCTCCAGCCCACCTAGAAGATCCAAGGTGCAACTTTTCAGCGGTTATCGACAGGAACCTTTTTGTTTGATATTAAGACCTTCTGCCACATTGATTTCAATTGCTGGCGTGGCTGCCTTGCCTAGATTTTCCACTTGAAGCGTGCCTTTGAATGCCCTGCTCCTACCAAGTGTGCCTAGACTTAGCTAACCTGCGCCTATGTTGTGCCTTATTTGTTTAACCTGTGCCTACGGCGTGCTCGATTGGCTTTACTGTGCCGAAAGTGTGCTTAGACTTTCAGCCACCCTGTGCCTAAAGTGTGCCTAAACCTGGGCTCAGGACCAAAGCTATGAGCGGAACACCTTTCACCGCTCTGATCCTCGCCTTTGCCCACGCTTGATACCCCATGGCAAAAACATCATCACGCGCAGATGGCGATTGACGAGCGGTCTCGACACTCGGCTAGCAAACCTGGACAGAGGTGAAGCGCGAAAGACTTTTGCTTTTGGTGGGACACGGAGATGTTGTGGATGGGATGGGGAAGGGGAGTGCGCTTCAGATCCCAAATTGCAGATCCTTGAGACAACCCCCAAACCTGCCTGGGTATGTGGGCGCCTGGGTTCCATATTCCTTTCGACCTGCAGCTCTTGCAGGAAAAGCTCACGCAGGGCGTTGGGCCGGAGGACATCGAGATGTACAAGCTGCAGGATCTGTCGGACCAGCTCCAGACCTAGCAGGAAATTCGTTCACCACGTCGGTTTGCATTGCGGCCGTTTTGTCGGTGCTGAGCTGTTGGAACCCTTCCTGAGGTGTCTCAAACAGCATGCTTCTTTACACCGCGCCAGCATAAACATATACATGTTGGTCGAGGTCAGGAGACCAGCGTAAACATATATATGTTGGTCGAGGTCAGGAGCCTTCAGCCAGCAACGGCGCGGTAAATTCACGAAATTCACACCCCAATTCAATGTACAGCTTGAAGACGCCCTGAGAAATGAGAAAAGTCCAAGCGGCCTGGGCATGGGGCAGGGAAAGTCTAGTTTATCCCTAGTTTAAGTCATTTAAGTCATCAGGGAGCCGGCAAGAAAGCGCAAGCCTGAACACACAACCACAAACACCTCCACAAACACAACCACAAACACACAACAACAAACACACAACCACAAACACACAACAGCAAACACACAACCACAAACACACAACCACAAACACAACCGCAAGCATAACAACGAACACACAACCATAAACACACATCCACAAACACACAATCACAAAGACACAACCACAACCACAACTACAAACACACAATCACAACCACTACCAGTACCACAAACACAATCACAAACACACAGCCACAAACACAACCACAAACACAAAACCACAAACACAACCGCAAACACATCCACAAACACACAATCACAAACACACAGCCACAAACACACAATCACAAATACAACCACAACCACAACACAGCACACAACCACAACCACAACACACAACCCGAGGACCCACAAACAAAATCGAGAACTACTATACTAACGACCACGGCAACATGCTCCTGACTATGGCATCAAGACAAATGATTGAAATGTCATGGTGGGGATCACTCGAAGTAAAATATTTCCTTGGAACATGATACCGGACCATAAAAACGATACCTTTACAGCTATTCCACTTTTTCATTCAAGGGGTTTGATCATCGCTCAGAGGTTACGCCGAACCTTGTGCAAAAACTTCCAAAGAGTTGCAGTGTCAAAGGCCTTCTTGAAGAATGCAAGACTTCCATAGGCTTCCCTAGGTTATTCTGGCTATGCCAAGGTCGCCTCCTGTGTTTTATGCTCAATTTTCGGGGCCGGACTTATGTTGAAAGCTGAGCAATAGATCTGCCAAACATGCAAGCAACTATTTAGTTTGATGTTGCGAAGCGTGCTTTCATTTCTCTAATCGGTAACGGCTGAGATTGGCACCAAACACTTCACACCTGGGGAACTTATCGCCAGCAACTAAGAGATGCCAATTGCATAGCAATCTTACAAATCAGTTCAGACCAGTGACCAGAAACAATTCGTGGCATGTTTTCTGCCCATAACATCAACATTTGTGCTGGTCTATTGGAATTTTTTGTTTCAGCAGCAGCAAACCACAATGTTCAGACGCCGCGAGTCTGCATTTGAAAGCTCGAGTGCTCGATCTTCAATTACCATTTTTCTCAGGGCATAGGCATAGACGGCCGTTGAACGAAAGCTTCATTCAGAGAAAAGCAGGTCAAAGGTACGCTGAATTCAGAATAGTGCCAGAGCGGTTTTGACATTTTTGACTCCTCTACTTTGAGGCACAGCTTTGGCATGTTTTTGCCAGAAGTTGTCAGAGAGCCACGACGCAGCGGGCGTCCTTGACAGCAACTGGCCATGCCATGGCATGGGCTCTATTGCTCGCCGGATTGCTTCCCAGCGCCAAGGCCAAGCAGAAATGGAGGGCTTTGCAACAAGACTCAAAAGAAGCACCTTCTCGGAATTTGATGAAAATAATATATAGATCAATAAACATGCTGAAGAGGTGGTGGTAACTTGGAAACCCTACATCATCCCACCTGTAATTCAGGCGAGGTAAAAAGTATGACAACATTCTAGCAGGAACATCAGAATGTCCTCCGCCATTGAGTAATAAGGTCGCATGCCAGTGTTCAATGGATTGACGATTCATAGACAAATTGCTTCAGTCTTCAAGACTTAGATGTCCCGAAAGCTTTTGCTAGCTGGAGTTGTTTTTGCTTTGAGAATTGGTCTCGGACTAGACTGAATGTCTGATGATGCACTTGAGTAAATAGACTCCAAACACCATGTGCTTGGTGTGGTTACGAGGCTGGGGCCTGGCAGGAAGCAATGAAGAGCTCTGAGGACTTTGAGGCCTTGAACTAAGAGGATGGTTATGGCTGAAACATGGATTTGGCTTCACGGTGCTCCACACATTTGAGTCCACCCACACAACGTGCTATGCACAGCATCCAGGTCACATATTAATGACGCAACCAGTGAGAATAATCCAGATTCGTGACACGAGCCTGTCAAAGTCCTCCAAAAACTTGGTTGCAAAGCCACACATAATCACTGCATCTGTCAACAAGAGACCACGTAAGAAAGCAACTTGAGCATGGCCATCGGCTCCACCACCTGAGAGTCCATGATGCTGACAATGCAAGACTTGAAAAATCAGTGGAGTCAAGTGGAGTCAATATATTCATTAAAACATATGTATAGTATATTTATAGTTATTTTATCAGTCATTGTACCGACAGCAAATCGCTCACTGCATACAAACATATATACATATATATGCCGATATATATATATATATGTGTATGCCTATAGGCGACTTCCCAGCTACACTGTGATGACTGGCTGTCAGTGGATATTATTTTTTCAGTCATCATATTGTAATTGTACCCAGGTAGACCTTCTGCTGGGCCACTATGTCATCTACAGTACAAATAAAAGACAGAGTCTTTAGAGCCATGCAGAAGTTGCTAGCCTTTGACGATTCGAGTCAGATGCTCTTGTTGAAGTAACCAGGGAAACGGAAGAGGAGGAAGGTGAGGGCCTTGTTAAAGGGGCCCTATTATCTTCCTTTTTGATTTTATATTCTTTTTCTAGAAATTCTAGAGTCTGGGACCTTGATTCTGAGGTCATAAGCTTCGTGACTGCATTGGACCCCACAGCGCTGATGCGTACGAATCTTCTCGAGAGTTTTCCTTTGAAGGCGCGGACAAACCACGAAGGAGCGAAACAGGATATCCTGGACGTGACATCTTCAAAAATAATCAAACATATGTTCAGATTCAAGATGTTTCTACCACGAAATGTGACGTTCATTTAATTGAGACATCTGGAGAAGCTGTGGCTTGTTCAGCATTGTTGGACAGGTTCTTGTATTTTCGCCCCATGCAGCAAACTGCGTCCACTAATTGACAGAATAGAGGGAGGCGTTGGTGTTAAGTGTTGAGTTTCTTGTTTCACCGATGGAGCAAGTTGGTAAGGTCACTTTGCTTGGTTTGGAGCCAGAAAAGAAGCCATGGACAAATCTCCGAAAATTGCAGCTGCTTCATCAGCTTCTTGACTGTCAGTCAGGTATAACAACTTCGGGTTTTGAAACAATTCCCCTTAGGTTTGATCATTCAAGTCTGCAGTCTAGAGTCACACTTGTTTCAGTCCCTTGTGTTGGCAACGGCAGCGGCCCAGGCATGTCGCAAAGCTGCCTCCTGAAAAGGCTGCTCCAGGGGAAGTTGAGAAGTGCTAACTCAGCGGATGTTGACAAGCCATGAGTGTATGTGTCCTACAATAGCATGATTCTTATTGCTTTCCATGACTGACATCAATGGACCTTGGTGTCTCGACATGAACGCTTCATGGGACATCTTTTGCTGCCCTGGATCTTCCTGCCTCTATGGTTGGAGGTTGAGGCAGTTCTACGTGAAATGCAAAGCTGATTCCCCAAGGAGACAAGAGCGGCCCATGTGAAAACTCACCTTGTTCCTGGAAGGTCGTCTTTGCTATCGATTTCTTTGATGTAGTGTGGCTGCATTGCCAGCGTGATCTTGTGGAGATTCTCAGCGAAAGCAGAACACAAGAAAGGCTCAAGAGTATCAGATCAGACTTCTTCTTGGAATCTTGAGCCAAATCCGCGGTAGTCGATACAGTTAATTCTCCATGTTGTAAGAAGACACTCGCATGTGACCAAGGATCTTCAAGAGTTTCGGTCGGCCAATGGTATTTAGTGCAGAGTTGCATCCTTATCCCATCTCCCCAGATGCGCTGGAACGCTTGGAGAGGCCTGAATTCTTTGCTTGCCTGCCAATCCGTTCTTCTCATTTGATCCAGGGCAGAAGGCTATCCCTTGCTTGCACAGAGAAAGGAGCCGCTTAGTGTTTTGACTGCAAATAACTGACATGGAAAAGAACGAGCAAGAGACAGAGAGAGAGAGAGAGGGAAAAGCTGACGCAAATGCTTTCCCTTTGTCTATTCTTAAAGGGGGTCGGTCAGACTGTCCACAGAAGTGCTAGTACGCATGAATTAATGTGTCTTGTATTCTATTTGTTTGGCAACTGGTAACACGCTTGGGAGTTTTGGCGAGCTTAGCTAGCTGCAGCCAGCTGACTTATGCTGAAAATCCAGTCAACATGCTCCAATTCTTCGCAAACTACTCAAAGGGGAGCTCCCTTGTTCCACTATGTTCCGCTTTTTGTTTGCATTTGTTCTGGATTCTTGCTTTGTGACACTCATGCCATCAACAGGATTGCGGCAGAACTGCATGCTCAGGAACAGTCGAAGGGAAAACCTACAAGTGCCTTGCTTAAACATGATTCTGCCTACAAATACTGCAATGGCTGCGGGTGTGAGCGGCACCGGAGACCACTTTGGAGGTACCACATAGAAGGCCGACGAAGTCTGGGAGCAGTATCCCTGCTATGGGACTTATCGTATTGGAGCATATTCCTTATTGTTGGTGAGAACCACCAACCGTCCCCAGAGCCTTCGTCAAATCCGAGAGGCTCAAGGAGGTCTGCCGCACAAGCTCCTTTGAGCACCTGGTAGTGCTCTCTCCTATTGCCACTTGTCATGGTACAGTCATGGCACTGCTAGCTTTTGCTCTCTGCCGCATGCAAGGCATTCCGTCCAGCTTCATTGCAGGCACTTTTGCCCACCACCTCTCACTTTGGCACAGCACTTCCAGATACTTCCAGGGCAAATGCAGACTGGAATGAAATCATTGGTGTTTGCGGATGAGAAACACCGTCAGCATTGAACCTGGCCGCACACAGTTACTCATACATCCCCTACTGCATAGATCTGCCCTGTACACTTTTGAGGAGTGACAAGGTCGGGTCATGCGGCGCACTTTGGCCTTTGGCCACTTCGTTTTGTTGCCCGACTGCTGTGATTGTTTATATACCTTCTTTTCTAATACGGACAGTGCTTGGATTTCATGTCATGTGTTGACACTTTCGCTCCTACTCACCTGCTCTGTGCAGTTTGCCCAACCTTGCTCGAACCTGCCTCTCTCCTCTTTGTTTTCCTGCTTGACCTTTTCACCCTTTGTCCATGCTTTAGGCTTTGGTAGTCCTTCATTTTGTGCTTTGAGCTCCTGGAAGTGCAAAGGTTATTTTATCCTTTTGCACCTTCCCTAAGTTTGAGAGGAAGGGATTGTTTCATGTTTTAAACATCATGTTGTTTGTTCCAGCTCTTTGGAAGTGTGTTGTACGTTTTGACTATGGAGAAGGAACCTCCACACATAATGACATTTGCAGTTGTGCAAGAATGTTCTGAAGCCTTGCAAAGATGATTGCGAAAAAAACCTGAGGTACTTGAACTCAGGTTGCTTGGTGGGATATGCAGGGGCTCTGAAGTTGGCTACAGCCCGAATGCTGCAGCGCGGTGGCCAAAACCGCTATGTAAGAAACAGCAGGCACGGAAAGGGAGTGCAACCACAGTAACAGCACAAAAGCTTTGAGCAACATGACTCTTGTTTCAGGCTCGCATCTAGCGAATTGGAAAGAGTCCAGATGCAAATGGGCATTGATGATCAGATTGCGTGGCATACATATGTTCCTTGATTGCAACACATTATATATACAAGTGTTTTGTTCAATATCCACCAGTGTCAGTGTCAGTCTTGGTTCAGCAGCTTAAATGACACAGATGTGACATCAGAACATGCACCAGAGCATCCTTTGCGTGTTTGACCATTGATCCAAAGCAATCACCCTTCGTGAACCAACGGTGGTCGATAGAAAAGGGGCGAGAACGCCTACTGGCACTGGCAGTTCATTTGGATTGAGTAATAGACTCAATGCTGCATTTCACGAAGTGCGATTGGACACAACACTCCAGACAATTCGAGCACATTTATGCTGCTGAAGCAGAGCTTGAGCTCGGAAGACCAGAAGAGAGTGCTGACAATTACAGGTAGGTGATGGACGTTGATGCAGTGGAAGGAGCACTGTGAAGCCTTTCAACAAGCGTGTTGACCGGAGAAGAAAGTGGATCCCACAAGCTATGTCAATAGTGGTGAAGAATCGCAGCAATGAAGAAGCCTTCAATAGTCAAACCGCCTATGTGGCCCCATTCAAAGGGGAGGAGGAGGTCAATCAGGGTTACATTGAGGGCAGCAGACGCGCTTGGAGTGCTCTGGCAGAAGTCTTTCAAGCTATGGAGATCAAGGGAGTTGCCCAAACCTTCACATGTTCATTTGTAAAATATAAGTTGGCGGCAGCAGGCATCTCATGCTCCAAAATCAGCGAAGCTTGGCCAGGGAAGGACAGTGAGCTTAGATCAGTGTCGCTTCGGCTGTGTTCATCCGTCCAGAAAGCCAAAGTCCAACGCAGACAATAAAAATTACACCTTAGACGAACATTCATGCACAAAGTTGCTACTGTTAGAGAAAACCGTCGGCCAGTCCCGGAGAGGAACTCAAAGAAAAGCGATGTTGTGATGTTGAGCTTGCGACAAAACAGGACGTGAAGCTTTGGCCACGCAACTGTTCAACTTGAACAACCGCTCGGAGAATGCAGACGCAGTGAAATGTTGCTTTTCCAGGACCTCCCTGATGCACATTCAACTCTTGCTCCAATTGAAGATAGAGCAGGGAATACAGCCGAAAGAGGAGCCACAAGAAGCAACAACACTTCAGGCACAACCAAACAACCCAGTACCATTGGACGAAAGTGCTGCTGGTCAAGTGCCTGAAAACTCAAAAATGCAACTGGGTCACACATTGTGGAAACCCTCCTGCTCTTTTCATGGAAGACATGAGTTCAGAACGTGGAGCAGTGGAATACGAGAGGGTATTCTTAGGAGACAATGCCTGCAGGAAGACATTGATGAAACCAACAGTGCAGCGCATTGAGCACTTGCGCCAGAGCCCAGTTGCCCAAATCTGCAAACTCGCACAGAGGTGAAGTATACAGAACGCACCAAAGCAGAGCCAGAACAGCTCGACTCAGCCAAACTCAACGAGATGAAGTGTTGGTTGGAACCGACGCAGTGGTGGCAACGGCGTATCCGTCCATCGAAATCTTGTTACCTCGATGGAGTTTATAGATGCCAGTGTTTCAACTGAATCGCCCACATTAGAGAAACAATAAGCTACTAGGAACAAGTGCATCGCTTCTAGTAACAAGTGCCTCACTAGTAGTAACAAGAAGCTATTAGAAACAATTAGAAACAATAGCTACTAGGAACGAAGGGTGACTAGATTGTAGACAGTCAGTTCCGGCTGGTCAGATCAGGCAGCTGGAGCTGAGGCAGCTGCTCCAAATACCTGAAAACAAGACCTGACTTCTCCACGGACATGCATATGGTCGAGTCGATGCCCCGAAAACTGTTCAATAGGAACTTCAAAAGAAGCTTGAAGAGATAGTAATAGGTTTCGTTGCTCACTCACTTGGTAGCCATGTATTTTATTCGAAATCTAGCAAATATAAAGGTTCTGGAAGGAATGCGGAAGTGGAGGAGGAACAAAACGCTTTGAAGATCTTTGAAGACCCTTTGACAAAGCTGCGCGTATCCCTTCCTCCTGGCCAAAGAGTGCGCAAGGAGTATAGACTCACAGGTTCTGAATGGTTTTGACATTGAAATTGCATTATTGCGGCGTTTGTGTAGACCAAGCCGATTACATCAGGCCAAGTTTATCCTGTTGATGTATGCAAAGCACGTCGCAAGGTCGCAAGGAAGAGGCAGCAAATGTAACAAGTGACAAACTGCAGCAGCTACAAAGATTGCGCGGCAGTCTATGCAGCAGCGCACCAGACCTGGCTGCCAAGTGGCATTTGCAAAAAGAAAGGCGAATCAGCCAGGCCAAAAATGACGGATCTTTTGGAAGGGAGTCAAGTTTTGAGAGAAGCCAACGAGCATGCTGAAACAAATGCTTTTGTTCGAACAACCCCAGTCCCAATCGAAGAGCTCACTTTTGCAATCTTTGGAGACGCAAGCCGCAAGCTTTGCCCTGGAGCAACAGTTGAAAGCACGACCAGGAGTGATAATTGAGGTCTGCGCCGACAAGCTTCGACAGAATCAAACATCAGTCACACAGCTTGGAACTCCCAAATTGGCCGAGTGGTAGGATCCACACTGAGTCAAGGCATAATACATAATGCCATCGTCGCTTGACAAACTCATACGGGTCCGGTGCCTATGGGGGGTGTAGCGTGCGATCCAGAATTCATATGGCAACGTCCAGAACCAAAGGCTCTCTTAGTAACAGATCGGCAAATCATGTTTGATTTGATGATTGAACTGAAAGTACCGAATTGCCAAGAATGGAGGACAATAGAAGGGGTTGAAGTTGCCAATGGAGAAGTACAGCTATAATGTTTTCTGGTTAGCTTATGGATGCTTCCTTCCCCTGCCAGGTGTTATCAATCAGTCCACTTAGGATCGATACAACTTAAGGTGGGTTGCAGCCAGAATGTATCCTTCGCATAAGTAACGCAGACCCCGATCGGCAGTTTATTTGGATATATTTGGATTGATTTAGGTTTTCCCTTCGGTTGGCTGTGGGAAGTTGCAGGGCTAGCTTTGTGTCCTCGAGGGGGAGGCGCGCAAGCATTATATATATGTACATTTTACGAAAGCCAGCCGATAGGCTAAGCTTGGAGCTTTTAGGGCGAACGAAGTGAGTCAAGGGGTGTCGGGGTGGGGGTGGTCGCTGAGCAGGACCTTTTGATAATGATAGGGTGGACGCAGCGCTCCAAAGCGAGGGTCCGAAAGAAAATGGGGTCTGGTAGTGCATCATTAGCATCATGAAGGGCTTTGGAGGCTATTTGGACAATGGGCATAGAGGACAGGGACCCACGTACAGAGCAGACCGCAGCCGCACATAGGAGACGAGCTCCGAGGACAACCCGCAACTCGCCAAATCCATAGAGAGCCGAAAGTGACATGAGTTCAAGGCCATGAATTTGGATTGGGTTTCGGTGGGGATGCCTGCGGGGCTGATTACATATCCGCATTGGGATCCTGCACCCTAGTATATACTATACTTGCACCATGTCCTTGGTCGAGTGGATTCTTCTCGCGTCCACACGCACCGAACATCTTTCCGGCTTGCCGGTGCAGATAGATGATAGATACATACATACATAGATAGATAAGTTCTATATACTACTCATGACATTGCCCCGGGCCTGTTATCCATGTACATTCAACTTCCAACAGTCAAACAATTGCGAGAAAGGCTGGAATGCACTTGAGTGGTCAAAGACATCCAAAGTGACTAGTTTCAGTGAACATGTCCTATTATTATACAAAGCGGCAACATGCAACAACTGATTGTCCGAACCTCCCACATGAAGCAGACTTTCTGGATTTGTGGCTGGAACGCGCGAGAATGCTCCCAGGCTCTACATCACTCAGATGAGATTGCCTTGGACTATGATGCAGATCTCTTTCTTAGTGTTTTGAGCCATTGGGTAGCACTTGCGTCCGTGTGTTTTGCCGCTTTGTCCAACACGTTTTAGGAAATCGTTGCTGGACTGCATGGCAGTCGACGCCGAGGTATCCCATTGAAAGATTTCGTTCTGAAACGTGGGCAAGTCTGGGCGGAACCCTTTGGAACCTCGATGGCAGCGCAAGGAACATCTCCTACTGGTAGGTGCTAGCAACAAATGCTGTTGAGGTCGGCCTGCGTGTTTTGTCCATGGCAACGGTGCCTCTAACATGGCCATCTACGTGGCACAGATCCAGAGACTTGGCATTATGTCGGATTCGACAGCAGGTGTGAAAATTGTTGCTGATTCACACACACACACATGGGGAAGGGTTTTTGTGAGAAACGTTAGAGAGATGTCAAAGCCCAGAACCTCCTAAGTCCACGGCTTCGAGTCCACAGTCTCACGAGCGACGCCGTCAAGGGTGGGGAACTCGACAGTCTGGGTTCTCGGCTTAGCCCAGTGGCCATCATAGCAGTGAGATCACTTCAGGTACATGGAACATGAAACACCGCAGAACAAACAATGGAATCGCAACAATCAATCAACAGTTGATCTGAGCAGCTACGTTTGCACGGCATCTTGGATGGGTCTTCATTGGCCCATGCCATCCAAGTGCCCATGGGCCCGCTGCTGAGACATAATCGAATTCACTAATCTAGGAGCGGTTCAAGTAGTTTAGACACTCCATCTCTGCAGCAAAACGGTAGTCAGATTCACTTCTCCAAGGCATGAAGCAGTTCAATTCAAGCAGTTTGATCACAATGCAAACTCGGCCGCTTGTGATAGCTGTTTACACACACACACACACACGTGCGTGACAGGGTGCAGTTTTGTGAAGCCAGCCGCAAGCGTATGGTTTCCTTTTGTTGATTGAAATCGAAGTGGTTTTTAGCTCAAACATGTAAGATAACAATTTCCTCTTCACATATTTGCAATCCAGAGTTGGAGATGCCAGTCATTGTCGATCTTACCTCGTCTCACTCATCCGTTTTTCTTCTTTGGGTTTGCTTTGCCAAAAAGACACTCACGCTGCCAGCTGTTCAAAGACACATATGAACATGACGTTTGAATTCTCGGCCCTCAGGCAACTGGCAAAGACCTATCCTGGACTTCAACCAGGCAACTGCTCGGAGGTTGTCAAGGAGAGATCAGTCCACTTCAATTTCAGTTGTTTGTGAGAAGAGACCGGACCACTTGAAACGAGTGCATCATCCTTTGATGCTGTGTGTAGCATTGTGCCGCATGCGCAGAAAGTACAATTCCCAATCGTAATCCACCCCAGGCCTTTCATACCTGTTTGACCATTGAGACCAGGCATTCTCCTGCCATCAAGCTGGAACTTGAAAATACCTCAAGGCAAGAGTAACCACATATGGGTAGAACTAACATATACGCACATGTCCACATGGTTTGTTCTAAGCAAACAATTTGCAACGGATTTTCTACATGAGTTGTGGTCAAGATCAGGATCACCAAACCGAATCTTCAATCTCACAAGGGGTCATTTTTTTTGAAAACGTGGAGCCTGAGGAGGTTGGCAATGCCAAGATGTGGGAGCACCTCGTCTTGAGATGGGTGATCACGCGAATCACCGGCCCCCAGTTTGCGCTTGCAAAAGTATATTGTCAGACAGCCAGTAGAACGCTAGCTCTTTTTGCAAACGCGCCTTTTGCACTTTTAACTCAGAGGTTTGAAGCTTTGTCAACGCTGAGGCTTAACTGCGATGATGGCGTTGCACGAGCCAAGCCACGAAGAAAGCTACCGCGGAAAAAGTGTATTGCAAGTTCTTTGTCAAATGCCACCCTGGAGTCTTCTTGACAGGAAGGTACTGCAGATTCAGATACTGTGGGAAGGAGTAGTTGGCAGCTAAACGATCTTGACATGTTCAACCGGGTCAGCATGACGGTGTTTCCACTGAACTAGATTTGTCCTGCAGTGAGGTTTTTGCTGAGTTATTTAGTTGTTACCTCAGATCGTCTTAACCAGGCACTTTGAGCAGTGGCAAGCAGGGACTGTTTGCCTTCAAGACTCCAAAGACTCTAGAAGCACTCTGCTGATCACCGAAGCATGATGAAGTATTTTATCATGTGGCATCATTTGGCATATCATCAAGTAAAATATGCATTGTTCCAAGGCTTGCTTTGTCATTTCTCTGGTGCAGTGGGGTCATTCTAGTGGCTGGTTGGCAGATGATGTCAAGGCCTCAGCCAGACTGCGTGCACTGAACCTGTAGGTTAAGATAGCAAAGGAACGCTGGATCTGTGTGTGGGAGTTGACTTGTGTTGGAGTCTTTTTTCGTTCTGCAAATACAGTGAGCGGAGGTTCAAGGTACAGTATTTCAGGATCAACCTTCCGAGCTAGACATGGAAAGAGGAACATGGATGAACATGGGAGTTTTTGTCCTTCGGTTGCTCGTAGGTGTGTTAGTTTGGCTGTTGTTCTGCATGTTTGGCTTTTGCCTTGACGTTTCCATTGTTTTGTCTTGGGCAAGCTTGGCCAGTCGTGGTTTGTTGCTATTCAGAAGGCTGCTTGAAGATCTTTAAGCGTCACTGTTTGCAAGTGAAGCTCTTGATTTGTTGAAAGCCAAAGTTCTAAAAATCATCTCATAGCAATTTTTTCTTGTTTTCGCTCACGGCGACCCCATCGGGTTTTATTGTTTTTTACGTTTGAACCCCCATAATCATTGGTTAGGGTGGGGTGGCGGGGGTGGAGGAGGTGCAATGACATTTCAACTAGTACCGACTGGTGTTGACGTCACCGTGATCACTGTAGCCTTTTTGGCTGATCGCACCACAGCTCCGTGTGAGAATTGTCTTTAAACATGTTGGTTTCTCATTGTTTTGTGTTGTTGTGCTAAGACTTCCCCAAGAAGATGTAACATTGCATCGCTTTTCGTTTCCGGATCCCTTGAAACCGTTTTTTTGTTCAGATGCGTCGGTGGTTCATGCCAAGATGGAATGCACGAAGTGCTTGCTGTGGAATCAAACTTCAAGACATCAACCCATGTTCAAACCTTGAAACTTTGTCAATCCGTTTCACACAAATGTAGAACTTCGATCAGTCATGCCAAAATTCATTTTATACGATACTGTATCAATAGTTTTGGTGGAACTCTGTCAGAACGACGCGCTCTGACTAGTGACCTCTCTAGCGGTTGTGCGGACTGCTTCATTCTCTCCCCTGTTGCACGACATTGCGCGGGTACATGTCCTTTCCCTCAATTCATTCGGCTGCCGCTGTGCACTGCATGTGTGCAAAAGCAACATGTGGTCGCCACAGTTTTCTTCCGCTTTTGTGCACGTGCTTTCGTGCGCGAAATTGGTCTCTTGTACTCGTACGCTCGTACGCTCGTGTTTGTGCTTTTGTTTTGATGACTTTTACTAGAAAAGGAATGACATTCGCCAAGGAAGGAACCATTGTCTTGGTCGTTGGCACTTGCCTCATTTTCCCAATTGGCATTGCTGGTGCCCCAGATGCCGCTTGTTTCTGCTGCACCATGCTGCGACTCTTGAGCCGCTTGCGGTTTAGGCGGGTTAAAGTGCTCCAAAGTTCAATTGGGTTCAACGCCGCTTGCAGTACTCCAGATGATTCCGGACGTTACATAGTTGGGAATGACCGAAAGCTATCGAAAGCTATCATTTAGCATAGGAAAGATCGGCCATGAATCTGCCAGGTCGCCTTTCTGCACCTCTTGGCAGTGTTCCTTGCACACCTGTGCTACATTTGCTGTCGAACACAGGCAGGTGTCAAAATACGACAAGTGTGCAAATCAGTTTGCCTGAAACTTACAGGACACGTCTGCAACAAATGTGGAACTGAGTCTTTTAGGGCTGGGCCCTTAGTCAAAAGTCCACGTCCAGCAGCATCGCAGAAAAATCCGCAATAATACCTTGGTGTGAGTTGACACTAGGTTCACGGATGTTGACCGTACACGCTGAAGGCTAGATGCAGGAGGCTGTATGTATTGTTTACAAATGTAGTAGGCAGATGTGCACAAGTACAATTGCGATTGGAGAGAAGGCAAAGAACCCTTTTTTTGATCCGGTTTGTTCAGGGTTTTTGCAATGTAGAGTGGGACGCCAGATGTGCGCTGCAGGTGTACACTCTCTCAGTAGGTACTTACATATGAAAACCTCTATGTTTTGTCCATGACAAGATTGTCTGGATTTGCATGCATGCATTTTTCTATTCACGTCGCTTCGCGACGGTAACCGCCCGCACCGCATGGGAGGGCTCAAAGACTGCAGTCATGCTCCAGGAACGGGTCAAGGTAGGTACTTCCATTGAACATAGCCCCAGAAGTCACCCCCCCCCAACGTGGCCGAACATAGCTTCCATATTGCCTAACATAGCGCTAGAATGTGGGAACGTCGCAAATTGGTGTATCTTTTCCGCAGATAGCTCGAGACGTTCGCCGGATATTTGGCTCAACAGGAGCAGAGATAAGGAACGGTAACATTTTCTAACGAGGGCTCAAAAGGGACTATAGGGACTTGAATAAAGTAAAGATATTGCCTAACATAGCTCTAAAAGTCACTATCTAAAGGACGTGTCTGCGAGATAGGGACGTGAACGTCGTAAACATAGCCCAACGAGGGCTCAAAACGGACTGGAACAAAGACCCCCCCTAACGTGACCAAACATAGCTTTTTCCAGGAACGGTAAGATTGTCTCACGAGCATAGCTTGCATATGGTCGAACATAGCCCCAGAAGTCACTATCTCAAGCATGCTTCCTCGAGATAGGGACTTGAACGAGGGCTTAAAATGGACTGGAATAAATTCAAGATTGCCTAACATAGCCCTAGAAGTCACTATGGTCACGGAACAGGTGCCGCTGGTAGAGTTCGTTGGAGTCAGAGTGCTTTTTCAAGTAATCGTGGTTGTGGGGTTAAAAGACTGCAGCCATTTTGCGGGTCGGGTAAGTGGTTAGAGAGCTTCCGGAAGTGACGCGATCTGGAACCATGTTTTGCGTTCAAGTCCCTATCTCGCAGACACGTCCGTTAGATAGTGACTTCTAGGGCTATGTTAGGCAATATGGAAGCTATGTTGAGCCACGTTAGGGGAGCCTGTTCAGCCAAATGTCCGGCCTCAGTCCAATTACACCTTACCGCGCAGATGATTCAAATCATGCAAAGGAAGAAATGTGCATTTCTTGCATCACCAGGGGCTTCAAAATAGCACGAATTCATCTTCCAGCATTTTAAGCCGGCTCCAAAAACGTGAAAAACACAGGATTCTAGAGCGAAAATGGCCCCCCCCCTAGCTAAAGCTATTGGCTTGCATATGCTAGCTTACGGAAAGCGCGTGCCCTATAAAAACGCCTCGGCACCTTCGGTGCGGGCGGATTGAGGCACTTACGCCTTGCAAATGAGAGGATCAGGCTATTATAGGGGAAACTGAAACTTTGCATCTCATGCAAATCACGAAAGGTAGCGGTTACGCTACCTGAGTTTTCCTTTTGCTTTAGCAAAAATGTACTAACCCAGAGCTGCAGCCTATCTCTCGGAGAAATGGTCCCCGACATCTTCGTTTGCTGGCCAGGCAGGGGCCCCCCCCCTTTCAACTCCACCCTAGCGCGCCTCGGGGTCAACCGTTCGAAAACACTGTAAATATCAGTGTTTTCAGCTCTTCCAGTCCTCAGCAGTGACCAAAAATCATGGAATTTACAGCGTTTTTTGTGGCTGTCCGGCAAAAAACACCGCAAAAACCGATGGTTTTTGATGCGTCTCGGTTAGAAAAATGACCGAAAAAAGACCAAACACCAGGAAAGATTTTGTCAGAAAGGGTTTTTGAGGCTTTTGGAGGCTTCAAAATTGCACAAAACTATGGTATTTACAGGGTTTTGTGCACCTTCTCGGCAGAAAACGCCGGTATTTACACGGTTTTCTGCGCTTTTCCAGCGCTCAACCGTGGTGCGCCTTTGGATCGACGGCTACAAAATACCGTAGATACCAGTGTTTTCAGCTCCTCCTGTCTTCAAGCGTGGCCTTAGACCTTGCCGCGGCTGTGGATCGACGGCAACGAAACCTCGTAAATACCAGTGTTTTTGAGCACGTCCTGTTTGCAAGCATGGCTTGCGGCCACGCAATTTACAGGGTCGCCGCACGTCACTATGTAAATCCGAAGTTGCATTTGAGAAATATGTGACTCCTTTTGAAGGCACGTCAACCTGTATTGAAACCGCTAGACCGCTACAGCTTCTGGAGGTTTTGTCAAGCGTTTGTGCATTAGTCTTTCTTTCATCACGCTCACTCACTTCTCTTCAAACAAGTGGGGGGCCTCTCACCTCCTCCCGGATTACGCCTGATTCCCTGCTACCTTTCGTTCACCCCCCTCCTCTCTCAAGTGCAAGGTTTGCTGTCCTTCTGAACCATCAAATTCAATTCCATAATAGCTGAAGCTCAGGCCTAGCCAATGGAATTTGCTTTTGCCAGCACATTGCCAAGTGCCAGTGCGCCAGGACCACAGCTTGAGGATGTTCCTGCAGACTGTTTGTCCAATCTTCTAAATTGCCAGGATCCGTCCTTCATGGGGTAAGATTGTTTATGGATCTCCATGATTCTCCATGTATGTATATATATATACAGATCAATAGATATAAATGTTTATCATTTTCCCCCGCCCTTACATAATTAAGTAGGGCTGCTTAATTAGGTAACGGAGTAAGTTCCTATATAGCTACTTAAGCTACTAGCTAGGACGCAGGATAGCTCACGCTCGCACTAATGATTTAGATGTTTAGGGAAACTTATAACATTGCAGGTTGAAGGAACGGAATGGATTCGCCATGATCCCAAGAGTTGACGGCAAACAGACTTGTTTTTTCCCATTCTTGTTCCCCCTGATCTTGGTGTACGTAATGATACTCCAACCTACTAGTGACGGCCTCCAACTTAATAGGGATGGCCTCCAACCTACGTACTAGCGATGGCTTTCGAACCTAATAGGGATGGTGTCCAACGTACTAGCGATGGCCTCTAATCTATATAATAGCGATGGCCTCCAACCTAATGGGGATGGCCTCCGACCTCCTATTCAAAAGAAAGTTTATATAACGCAAGAATCAAGAGCACATTCAGTTGCGGCCATCTCATCCAGGTGAAGTTGTGCTGACAATGCCATTTCCTTGGACCAGAAGGAAGGATACCACTCTGAACTATTCAGTGGTGGGCTAGAGAGATCCAGTGAGACCTAGTGAGCCTTGACTCAGGCCTGCCGGGGGAGAAGCTTCAGACCCTTTAGTTTCGGAGCGAACTGAGTCGAGGCGCACAGATTAGCAAGTTGATTTGTGCCATCAGCTGTCTTACAGCTGTGACATTCTGAAGGTCGTGCCTTGTTCCTAGTTTTCAATGTACCTGGCACCGAACTGAAAGAATTTTGGTCCATGGTCCACAATCAATCCCATCATTATACCTGATCAATTCTGATGAATTGTAAAATTGCTTGAGACATGCTTGTCGCTTCACTGCGTCATCAACATGCCAGGTCGCACCTAGAATTCCAGATTCTTGACTACGTCGCGAAGGCTGTTCATCACCGCACTTTTCTGTGGTGGCGCAGTTATTGGATGTTATTGGTATTTATTGGTACTCGTACGCAATGGCAATTTGTTTCGACTTTTTGTCGAACACACTGTGACTGCACGATGCACTAGACTCACGAGTACATCAATGCGGAATGGTAAAAGAACAATTCTAAAGCAGCACGCGTAGTTAGCCTCAGCAGGTCGGGCCATTGGAAGCACCAGTGGCAGTACTTCTTGGAGGTGGGTTGTGAAGAATCAATAAAATGTGTCTCAATTCCCATTTGAACAGTACAATTGACCATGAGAACAGCACAAGCAGTTTTCATCGAATTTGCGTGAGGCAACGAGCATCACTCTGAGATTGCTCGGGGACCATGGCAATTCAAGATAAAATGAACAAGTCATCCAAGACTTTGTGCTTGGTTTGTTTCGACATAAACTTGAAGTGTGCTTGCATTGCCCAGGTTTATGCGGATGAGGACTGCTTTGGCATGCCATGAATATCACATTTAAGAGGCCAATGACCTGTGCTGTGAGGACATGGCTCGGATTTGTCAGAGGTTCACTGCACGGTTTGCCCCCCAGCTTGAGCCTAAGTGGTCTTGCGGGAGGCATTGAATGCAAGGCTCTTGCCAAAGATCTAAAAGAGAGGGGAATGTTTGGAATATGAAAATATAGCTTGGTTTCTTTATTCGAGCGCATTTTGTTATTTGGAAAGCACGTGATAAGAAAGCTGGCGTTGTTATGTTGCTTCTTTTGTTCGGCTGAAGGCAGGCACCAGCCATAGTTCTGTAGGGTTAGTTAGGCTACGCCTGGCGTTGGAGGGTGGGGACATTGGATTTGGATGTCCAGGGAGGAGGACAAGTATTTGGGAAGATTGAACGTCACATAAGCCATGTACTATTCTTGAGTGTGAAGATGTACAAACAGAGTAGACCTCAGGAGCTGGAGCAAGTATATATATATATATAGTCTATATAGTTATATATAGCTGTATATGAATCTTCCATTTTTATGCCAAAGGTCCTCACGGGTGCGAATACTGTTGGAGGAACTCTTGCACCGCCTGTTGTAAAATGCTAATACACCAGAGACCATGGTTTGGTGGTGCAGGATCTCTTCAACAGTAGCGTCTCGAATCTCCGCTAGGATCGCAGATGCCTTGTCTCGGAGTGTCAGAGTTCTCAGCTGAAAATCACGGAACACTCTGGAATTCAAGCTTTGTAGCGCAATACAGAGCTGCTTACTCCAGCGCATGAGAAAATCATTTGTATATCGACTCCAATTTACCTTGCGGCTTCGTTGAGGTGATCAGCATCTTGCACCAGCGTACAAAGCCGCGGGAGCCGACCGGCTGCAGTTGGAGATTCTTGATTCATGTTGATTTCAGAAGTCAGAAGATTCTAACATTCGGCGACATATCGCTTCTGTAGCTCAGGATCTTGGTTGTGAATATTTCATTCGTCCACATCTCAGCCCTCCCAAACCATGACAATAGATATGTAACATGTAGATCATTAAGATCTCTCAGACTACTGTAGTTCTTCAAATTTGCTCTTGTACTGACTCTGGCTTCTTTCCCAGAGCTAGTTACTGCATGGCATGACAGCATCTCAAGTCCGAGGCGGATGGTGATAGCGACCAAAGCGAGAGTGACCCAGGCCAAAGATGACGAACTGAACTATGCACAAGAATGGGAATATTGGACAATGGGTGGAAGAATGTTGCGGCAGGTGCCACTGGGCATTTTTGATGTGTCCATATATTACTAGATCATTCGCAGGTGAAGCCTTGCTTGGTGAGAGCACTCGATCGTGAGAACTTTGTCCTTACCGGCCGGTGACGGAAAGACAGGACATATCAGACAGCATACAATTATGTAACTATGTACAAATCGCTTCACCTAGCCAATCATCTCTTGGATAAAGGTTCTGAGAGCTTGGCTTGGTCTAGGTATTTGAATTCATTGAGGCATCACTAAAGCCCAAAGGTTTGGCTTCCCTGTGGCAGTGAAACAGCTGTGCACAGGCTCGCAAATGCCAGCAAAGCAGGAGAGTAGCTTAATCCTGAAGCCCTCCTTCCTTTGCGCCTGTAAGTGCACTGACGTGGTCATCACTCTGCATTCATCAACAATTACGCATCGTCCACTCGTCCACCTTGGTGTGTGTTCTTGGATGTTCTTTGACGGGTAGTAATTACCAGCTACTCATACAGCTTTTGGAGTGAAGACAAGTCTGTTGAGTGATGCTGCGCGATTCTGCTTGTGGTGATTCTCTTTGCCCAAGTTAGAGAAAGAAGCACAAATAGCAGGGTAATGGGATGACTGACTCGGTGTGTCGTTTGGGCATCTACCGATTCTCATTGTCAAGGATATATGATATTGTCATACTTTTCGGCCCAAGCCGGCCGGCTTCGGCCAACCACAGAACGGCTGCGAGCCGAGCGGAGGACACGGCAGATCCGGTCTACAATGCATCCCCAAATTCGATCCGCCAATCATCCTTGCAATGCATCCTCAATCCGACTCATTCCTTCACAACTTCGCCAGGCCGTGCGATGGCGGCCTTGTGCAGGTATGGCCTCGGGGCATTTTGTGCCGTGCTACTGCAGCAGCCCAAGCGACAGGTGATATATTGAATTGATGATATAGTGACAAATTGAGCGACAAAGTATGACAAAGGAAGCTTGCACGAAGGCCGCGAGTGCAGGTAACTTTTGGCCACATTTCAAGCTAATTTGTTGCCAGTTTGTGTTCTGACACCGAAGCTGTTCTTTGAGGCACCAGCTCGCCCGTCAGGCATGACACCAGCGAAGTTTCTTGGGGAAAGGTTCTATGGATAGCATTCGCAAGGGCAAGGGACTGCCGTGACCGAGATGTCTTGCGTCAGCAAAGCCAATGTTCAGCAAGCTTAGAATGCAGCCCCACTGTATTTGTGAGGTGTCGCCTGCGTTTGTGCAGACCGCGCCGAAGGTGACCAGCACTAGGCCACATGTGGACATAGGGAATCTATGGGAATCTAATATGACCTTGGAAACTTTCATTGGACTGGACTTGGGCAGCCGGGGTCCACTGGAACATCGTTGTATATTTACTGCGCAATGCAAGAGTTTGGTGCCTTTGCTCAAATATCAATTTCGATCGTGCTGGTTGATTGAGAGTCACAAACCAGGCTTTTGCAGTCTTCCCATCCTCTTGCAGCAGGGACCCCGAAAGCAAAAGCTCGCCATGGGAAGATTGTCAGCTTGCGCTGTTATCAGAGGAGTCTTTTGAACTCCAACTTGATTGAATGTTGTTTCATGTTGTTTCTGTGGATGGTGTCGGCACCAAGGGTCATGCTGACATCCGTCCTACTGCAGCTTCCAATCGGCGGGCCTCCCAGACACCAGCCATTGAATCTAACAAACTGAAAAGCCAATGCACGAGAGACCAAACAACATGACATTCAAGACCATTCAAGAAGTAGGTGCAGAGACATCGAAACAGCCTACCCGCAACAAACAAGGTGCAAGCTGCAAGAAACAGGCAAACCAAAGAATGAGAACAGCACACTCAAAATCACAGAAATAATCAGAAATATATTGAAGAGTTCCTGTTGCGATCACATTTTGGTTGGGAGGTTTGCGAACGTGTTTCACTCACTCTTCCATTCGCTTTAGGACGTGGTTGGCAAAAACCAGTGTGAAAAGCAAAATCTATTGCAATGCTTTTGCAAACAAAAGGACGCATGCATTTTTGACAGAAAGCGGCCTGGTTGCGCAATTACCATCACAACAGTCTTTGCCACAGGTTTACTGTAGAATACTGTAGACATGTTGAATCATGTTTAGGCATTTTGTAGTTTCCAGCGATTCCTGGTGCAAGAGAATGCCCCCGAGAGCACGAGGCCAGTAGTTTTGCCAATCTTCGCTGCTGTCCGGCGGCTCTGTGCAGAAATGCTGGTCACAAAGCTGCCGAGTCCACTTCTTGAGGAATTTGCATCATCCCATCTGACCCAATTCAGTACTAGGATGCTACTAGGAGCAAAGGGCATCGCTACTAGGAACAAGGACGCTACTAGGGGCTCCTGGCCTTACTACTAGGAACAAAAAGCTAGTTAAAAACCAGAAATACATATAATAAGTTCTGGTCAAAATACACCTAGAACCACACCCGCTACGACTACCATGGACTAACTACAACAACTAACCGCTGCTGCTGCTGCTGCTCCTCCTACTCCAACTCCTACTCCTACTACTACTACTACTCCTGCTACTACTGCTACTACTACTACTAGAAATTACAAGAAACTGCTACCACTACGACGGTACCACCTGTATTGGTACTGCTACTAATGTGGAATGAACAACACGTTTTCAGAAAGGTCCTAAGACCTGAAATTCCTGGCGTCCAAGGCGGCTTGCATGGCCTCTATGCTTCGGGTCCAAGTGCAGCGCCGTGCGAAGGGCAAGCCCCAGACAACATCAGGCATGTTTGCTCTATATGCCAACTATCTGATTTGGGACACCAACCGAGAGACATTTCTTACCACAATGAGTTGAACACTTCCACAGTACTCCAAGGATCCCCAATGCCCTCCTGGTCTAGGTGTACAGCTTGAATGGATGGGCAATACCACTTCTGAAATCATAGTCCATTGCTTCAACTTTGCTTGTACTTGTGCCAATTGTTTCAATCACAAGCTTCTGACCTGAAACCCAATGAAATGCAGGTGTTCGTGTCAGGAAGCCAAAGAACAACGCTTTGAGTCATTTGGATGCAATTTTGGGTGGCGTGATCCTTGTGGCGAAAGCAGTCCGCTGTTGGACTTTTGCTGTTTCAACGACTAGTTGTCTGTAAGACACGGTTTGTCACGAAACGATCGACGA